CAGTCTTTGTGAGTCCTTTCTGACAAGGGGTGTCCCATGCACATCCTCGATACAGGAAGGAACCTACGGGAAGTGGGCCTCATGCAAGGGCGGTATGCATGTCCAGACAGCCAGGGTGCCTCCCGGAACAGGCTCAAGGCTCACGCCACCCGAATCTCCATACGCGTACGTTACATCGCACAAAGCTTTCCCAGAAGTTCAAGCCTTCATAAACGCCTTGGACCTCCTAACCCAAGAGAAGCCCATGGAATTGATCATCGAGAGCATTACGGCGTCTATGGTTTTACAGTATAGTTGTCATCATCGCCTTACATCGTCTGCTCTTCGTCTTCGCGCTGCTCGGGTGTCAGGCGGAGCAACTAGTGGACTTGGAGAGTGTGGTGGGCCCTGTGCGTCTTGGACGCATTCATCGTCCCTTTGAAGGGTGTCATAGAGATAAACATGGTTTGTGTGCTTCGAGCAGAGTAACCTAGTTTTTGGAGGACATTCAGAATCACAGGGCAACACGTGCAAAGCGCCTCTTTGTGAGTTCTTCAAGGGGTATGTGAACCTTTTTCTGTTACTCTGAACGACCGAGCCGTACTGATACTCTCACATGTCTTGGTTCGCCCACACATCATGCAGTTTGAGGGTTTTTTTTCTTTATGGCTTAGAGGTGTTTAGGGTTTAGTTGTTTTTTAGTATTTAGGGCTTAGTGTGTTTTATGGTTTGGGGTACGTAGGGTTGAGGGCTTTTTAGGGCTCAGGGGGTTTTGGGCTTAAGGTGCTTGCGATTTAGGGGTTTAAGGGTTTGGGGCTTTTCAGGGCGGGTTTTTAGGGATTAGGGGTTTTAAGGGTTTAGGGTTCTTGGTTTAGGGCTTATTCCGGTTTAGGGCTTGTTAGGGTTTAGGGGCTTTTAGGGTTGAGTTGGGTTTTTAGGGTTTAGGCTTTAGGTTTTACTCAGGTTTAGGTTGTAGGGCTTATTAGGGTTTGGGGCTTATTTTGGCTTTTAGGTCTAAAGCTTGGAATTTCAGCCGCCCAAAAAGTACGCGAGGGTCGACGATTGCAACTTGGTTTTCTAAAATGGTTCTGCGGATGTTGTCAGAATAATCATCTATTATGTGGATAGAAAACACTGGCAGGCGGAGGGGCTTGACTTGAGGTTCATGACATATTTTTTCCCTGAGTGCGGGCAAACCAAAACTTTTGGCAGTATTGATAGGGGATGAATGAATGCCATGCGCTTCATCTATGATTTGATCGGCTTGTGCTGGAAAGAAGATGTATCAGCAAAAGATGCATGAACAGCTGCAGGCACTGCAGGAAGTTCAGGGACAGCGCAACTTGCCGTTGAGGTGTTGACATGGGAGTTCGGTGTATCTTTTTGTTTTATGGGCCGAGCGTTGGCGTTTCAAGGATTTTGAAGGTCTCATGCACATAAGTTGATCTTTGTTTCCTGTTGTGGTGAAGGTTTGTGGCCCCGCGGGGGTTCAGATTTATGGCCCCGTAGAGGTGGACCCCTTACATCAAATAAGTGACCTGACGACATGGCGCTTCCAGGGCCTAGATTTCTGATCATCTCTGCATGCATCGCGATTGTTGATTGTTTAACCGGAGCACCCAAGCTGGACGTCGATGTGCATCTGCCCAAGACGGTGCTACTCGTCCAACTTTGGGTCAGGTTAATTTGCCACGGTCAGACACCGGACCCTAACCGTGTGACACCTCCGAGGTCCTCTGAGTCGGACAGCGATTCCGAGCCATCTCGATGGCCGCAGAGGTCCGGAACGATGAAATGCATCAGGAATTATGTGATCACAGTTGAGCGTGGGGAGAATAGGATTGCAGGGAGGAGTTAAAAAGATAAAGGGCAGAAGCGTGGTTGGAGTTTAGTCCTACATATTCTTGAGGATGTCAGGCGCCAGGGTTGCAGTGTTTCTGTCTGCAGCCAGGAAGGGTAGGGAGGCTTTTGCGGCTCAGGTTTTGAGGGTGCCCTACGGCAAACTCTCATGTCATCCTACCCCTTGTCATGGCAAGTGGAGGCATTGAGCTTACATGTTCCCTTTGCTGGGGCATGTGCCCTTGTGCTCCGTAATGTGGAGTTTGCCTTAGTAACCACGCAAGACCGTTTTGGCTGTCAAGCTCATTCCTAAGAGGGGTGGCATCATAAATTCCCGACTGGGATTATCAACGTGGATCAGCATCGCTCTGCAGATCTCATTGCAGGCAGTATCACAAGTGTCAGTCAGTCTCTATTATAATTATGGTACCCATTAGGGTAATATTAGGGTTGTATTGGGGTTACATGGGGTATAATGGAAAAGAAAATGGAAACTACTATAATGGGTCTTTGAAGATGACGCTAACTTGGTTCATGCAACCCTCGAGTTTCCTTCAGCGTTCCTGTCAGCTGCTACATTTGGGGTTCAGGGTTTAGGGTTATGTATTGGGATAATGGAAAAGCAAATGGAAACTACTATAGTATATTGGGGTTATATATTATTGGGATAATGGAAAATACAATGGAAGCTGCCAAGCTTCCATCTAGCCAGCCAAGGATGTGTAGTTCTCATGAAAAGATTGGGCAACATCTTCGCCAAAGTTGCGATTGCACTGGTGATGCAACAGAAGCCGGAACGCAGGGTGTCGCATGGCGCCTCAATATAGTCGCTTCGACCTGAAAGCAGGGTTCTGATTAGGAACCCCCTCCTCTCCCCAAACAACTAGATGATTCTACATAATGAGCGGTCCTTTTTTAAGTTTGGAAAAGTTTCTTTGGGGTGGCTCCTGGAGAAATTCGACAGGCAGGACTTGTAGAGGATGCCATTATTTCCTTTCTGCCTTGTTACTATTCCGTACGGGACAAACGTCCAGTCTATTCCGTACCTTTTGGTATGTTCCGTTTGGCCGAAAGTTCGCTCTTTTCCGAACCCCTGTAATACTTGCTTTCCAATGCCTGTTTTCGTAGGCGGCAACAGAACTGATTTTGGCACCTTTCAGACAGGCATGATCTTACGCATGTTTACGCCCAAGCCATGGTGAATGTCATTGCCTCCTAGAACTGAGACCGTCTTGCCTTCATGCTTATAGACATAGCATCAAACCTGTTTTTTAGACCCTGCGCCCAAAATATCACATCACGCATGGCAGCCAGGATCTTGCGCCCTGCACTTGCAGTGTGCGCGCTCGGAGCTGTTGTGCTGCTTGCAGGCCGCGGTCGGGCATATCTTAAAACCCAGAGATTCCTGTACTAGCCATGGCGCTTAGTGTTGAGCTTTTGAAAACTTTTACTTTTGGGGAAGAACCCTGGTGTGTAGGTATGTCTATGTGTTTTTTCACAGGCTTATATACAGTTCAGAATTTTTGTTGAGGGTAAAGGCTGTTTGGGGAGGCCCTCAAGCAGAAGAGCGCTTTCAGGCTAGCAGCTTTTTGAAACCTCTGTTCTCGGCTTGTTTGTATATACCCTCACATAAGATAGCGGCAAAAATGTCGGGTGTCGAGTCTAGGGCTGGTCCTGGTTGGGCAAGTTTGCTTGGAGTCTTTTATTCTGTCATGAGTCATGGTGATGCGGAGAGCACAGGCGGTGGCGTTGAGTACCTGCGAGGTGACACTTAGATGCACTACGATGAACCTCTTTCCAAGAAGGCAGTACCAAGGCAGTAGCCCAGACCATTGAGAGTACCAAGTTGGTAAATGGATTCGCGGCAGATGCTTGCGAGACGTTGTGTTGCAGCCTGTGCAACCTTAAGGTGGGCTCCAATTTGGCTGTATTCCAGGTGAGCTCTGAGGTGTAGTTGTCCCACAGGCTTTGAGTGGTCAGATCCTATGTAGGAGTTTGGGAAGAGAGGCGAAAGCTCTATTGTAGGTTCGGTTCATAGTCCTGTGCACAGGAATTCATACTAGAATCAGCCAAGACTAGCTTCAACCAAACTTGTCAAAGCCAGCGATGGACCACCAGAAGTGGACACCCTGGTTTTGAAATCGATATTGGCTCTAATTAGAGCACCCTTGAGTAGTTGCCAGATGTATCTGCAGATTTTTGCCTTCTCCCAAATCTTGGGAACCAATCACGTTTAGGGGCTGCCTAACCCTAAACCCTAACCCTAAACCCTACCTTACACGTCTGCTTCTACCCGCTGAGGATCTCAAGGCCACACAGGAGAAGGCTGGCCTGTACAAGAGCGGGTGGTCGGCCGCCGACATGGAGAAGGATATCCTGCCTCTATTCTCACTACTATTATTCCACTCCTCCTCCTCCTCCTCCTACTACTACTACTACTACTACAATTCCTTGTCGTCTCGTTATTACAATTTTTCCTATATAGCCAGATTGGGGCTTCCCCTCTTGAAAGGACAAGAAACAAGAAGGACAAGATTAACACATGATACAGATTTGAGCCGCACCTCACGTGAGCTCTTCTTCTTCTTCATCGGATTCCTCCATCTACCTTGAACAAAAGTTGAAAGCTCGGAGAAGTACCGTGAAGCATTGGCTCATTCAAAAGAGGTGAGGCCTAGTTCTAGTATGAACTCGCCAGGATTATCAAAAACACTGAGTCTCGACTGTGGGGTACAGATGCTGGCACAGGGTGTAGGGACAAGACTGGCACCATAGGGGCGTCGATTCACATGAATATTCCTATGCTTGGGACTGCATGTAAATTGCTCAAGGGCGGCGCCTATACCTGATTTTGAGATATCTGCATCTGCAGGTGTATGAGAATAATCATACACACTCTCAGTGCAGGAGTCTGACATTTCCGGCTTTGACCCGCGGATGCTGCCCTGCTGCATGCCTGTCACAGATTTATGTGCTGGGTTTAGCGATCAAAGTGTTGTGCTAGGTGCGACCCCTAAAAATCAGTCGCCGTTATATGCTTGAGGCAAATTTGCAGGGTCCGCAAGCCTATCACATGTCAAGAAGCGCTCGCTGTACCGCAGACCGTGGCAGGTTCAGACTTATTGTTGAGAAGACTTCCTGGCCAGAGGTGAACCTGTAGATTCGATCAAGCCCGACTGAAGGATCAACTCTGTCAATGACCTCACTGGCGGCAAGGACAGAAGACACTCTATGTAGATGCTCTTCCAGGTATGCGTGAAGCATGATTTTTGCAAGTTTCGCTCTTGATTTTCATATTCTGTGAATTCGGAGCCGCAGAAGCAGCATGCCGCAGCAAGCTTGAGCGCAGAAGGTACTTCAAAACTCATTGCGATTCCATGAATTGGCTGCGCCAGAATCCGCAATATAGACTGTTTTTTCATAGAAATCCCGCAAAACCAGCCAGCCCACAGCAGAAGATCGGGGGGTGCAAATAGTTGCAAATTGAACTATCAATCTGGAATTGCCCTCCCGAAATGGCCATTTCATTGAGGATCACCCATGGATAAGGATCCTGTCAGGATCACGCCCCGGCCTTCTCCACCAATCCTCTGGCACGCCCTGAAGATTTGGCAGATGGCAACCGATGCGCAAGCGACGAGGAGCGCTCAAGGCTTCGAGAATTTTCTTAAGCAAGAACGATCAGATACGATCAGTAATAGTATTCCCTAATGTTTAGATGCTTTTCCGTGCTCAATTCTGGTAGATGGTACCCTCAGATTGTTCCAGGGTTGGACAGTATGCTATGCTTACGTAGAGTTTGCATGGGGTCAGCCTTCCTAAATCTTTAGGCATTTGATAACTTACTGTCGGCAGTGGCTATTTTGTAAACCAGCATGACTGTCCAAAGGAAGAAGGTGATAGTGTTCATATAATGCCGCTCGTTAGGCAAGCGGTACGTCTCATCACTAGGAGACTCTTGGCCCCCACCCCCCATGGCCCAAGATTTTAGAGGGTCGGCCGCTTTTGTTGGTAGCGTGCAGATTTGTGGCCAGGCATACGTGAATGTCGCAGACGTTTGGAACATGATTCGACATTAGAACAGTACTTTATTCAAATCAGTTTCGGTGTTTATGAAAACCCTATCTGTGTTTAGAAGCTGGTTCGTTCATTTTTTCCTGACTCAATCTGGGTTACGGAACGGCTTTTGCTGGAGAGGGCGTCCAGAATTCACTCATTATCATGATAAGAAGATTCATAATAAGCCCCTGAGACCACATTAAAGACTTTGACAATACCACAAAACATCGGACCAGTAGCTTCTGAACCTTATCCAAATCCTCGATCCTAAAGGGGTGAGTGCTTTCAACTAGTCCCTGTATAATATTCCAAGCCCCTGCAATTTCCTTATAACTCCCACTTATCAATCACAGGAGGTATCCCTATAGGGCACCCTGCGCCTTCACGGATTCAAAGAGGCTGGAAGGAATCTGGGTTCTGTATCTACCTATCATCACCAAGACTCTAGCTTAACGCGCCGCGACTTGAAGGTCCTCTCATATCTGCTTCCGTGTAAAGCACTTGGACTGAGTTTAGAAAGTATGCCAGAAGCATGCCAGAAAAGAATAGGCACATGTCTGGGCATGTCTGAGAATTAACCCTAGGAACCCAAAGCTTATCTATACAAAGGGGCCCTCAGCTTACCCATACTGGGGCGGCACGGCCTTGCACTTATCACGGAATAGGAGCTTCTGGGTAAGCTGTGCTACAAGAAGTGCTCGCTCCTGACGGATGGCAAGGCGGCCCACAAGATTCGTGAGGTTTTCATCATGTCCGACCCCTGCAACCACGAGATTGGTGTATTCTCTTCTGTGGCAACTCGGGAGGATCTCATGTCACAAGCGGAGTTTGTGGTTCCCCGATATGGGTATGTCTGGGCGCATTTTTCTTATTGTTTTGCGGACCGTTAGTTCTGTGTACCCTGTTGTTAAACTCATGCTTAAATCCCGAACTCATGCTTACTAAATTGCATCATTTGCCATGTGACCCGCCACGGCCAATCTCAGACACCTTAGTGCAAAATGGGGCTGGGCTCTGCAAGCGTGAACAGCAACAGCATGTGCAGGAAGGATACTAGTAGCCACACATAGAGCCACATCATGGAACTGAGCTTTAGAACGGTGACCAGACGGGTACATAGCCATGATGACAGTTTACCGGTGACAGGTAGAGTAGTAGGATCTCGTAGAAGGCCCTATAAGCTCTCCTGACCCGTCACCTGAAGCCTTGCTCTTCCTAAAGCGTGAGCCCCAATTGCTGAACCCTAGCCAAAAATTCCATAAATTGTAAGTTGTACCATGTACTATACTATACCATAGTCTAACAGACTATGATCTAATTAGTGTATACTCATGTACTATGATACATTTGTATATACTTCTCAACCTGGGTGTAAATGGAGGCGCCCATCCGTCTCAGCGCGTTCTCCTGCGGCAAGTCCCGGGGCTTTCAGGACTTCTTCGCCGCCAAGGCATCGCTTAGGTTTTTTTCCACCAAAAAAAGGTTTGTAGGGATTGAGGCTGAGCCTGGTTTCCAGGGGCGGTTGTGCCGTTCCTTCTCGTGATACCTGCAAAGTTAGCATAGATTGAAGATTCTCAGGAATTCTTCTTCAATCCTAGCTGCCCAGCTCTGGCCCTAGGGGAAATTGAACTTCAATCTCCCACATGGAGGCTCAATCTCTTGTGGCGGGTAGGGGCCAGGATTGAAGAAGTTATCCAGAGAATCGTCAATCTTCAATCCAGACTTGAAGATTCAAGATCCCTGGCAACACTTTTCAATTTTGTCTCTGGGAGTTGGGGATCCTCCTTAGGCCTAGTCGAGTTTTGTATTGAGGCTCTCCACTAGGAATGCGTAGCAAGCATTTGGGCTCGGGGAAAAAATCGCAAGGAATTGGGATCCTTGCTCGTAGTTTTGTCATGTACCCAGATGCAGGAGTGCTGATTATGAGATTTTCTTGACAAAAAGAATCCCTTAAACAGAATTGCTATTCGGGGATGGTATTGCTTTGCAAGCACGTAGGAGGGTAGGCAGGGGCCTAGAACGTTGTTTGATCACCGAACGAAGGTGGATCTCTTGGGCGGGGAGTGGACTAATTGTTTGGGTCCTTTGTAATTCGGCGAATGTTTACACATCGTTGGTTTGCATTGCACCAAACTCTGGAGCCAGCTGCTCATTGCTCAAGACTGCCTTTCAGCACGTTGACCCTGCAGGCAAACCTGAATGTCAACGTGCTTAAATCAAGATCAGGATCCCCCACGCACACATGGGATAAGCAAGAATCACTTGGTGTATGGTTTTAAAATCATGTTGCTCAAGAGGGGTCCCGCGCGGTGCTCTACACATTTCTAAGCCACTCCTGGAACCAGCATGTGTTATTCACAAACAGCTTCAGAGCCCACATTCAGCGACCACAGCTGCAATCGCGTGGCACTCGCATGCAACAACAATCCTGTGAGGGCATGAAGCCCAAGTCGCTTCCAATCGCAATGTCAGGTGGGAACGCTGGTCCCTTGCGAAGGCGCGGCGCCTCCCTGACGTGTTTGGTAGCATCGGATGCGACTTCGCTCAAGACGCCTCTTAAGTTTTACATGCCGCGGCACTTCACGGCACAATGCTTAGGATGAACCATGGAGCATGATTCATTGACCTTGAAGAATGAGGGAGGGAGCGCTTCTGAGATGCCATCAGCTTCCAGCTTCCAGCTTCCAGGCGGGCCCCTCGCATACAACTTCCATTGATCATGCGGTATACGCCTACATACTGCGCAGCGTGCAGTCATAGGGCATATGTTGCTACCATTGTAATTGGGTGCTGTGATGTTTTGCTTTCTGAATCAGCCCTGACTTCTGCGTTTGGTGTCAGCTGCTGAGCACCCAAGCACCGAGATTGTGGGGCAAGTTTAGCGGGTCTTTACACTGGCGTGCACTGTCCGTGAAGATTTGCCAGATTGCGCCATTGTCTCATCTAGCTGTGAAGCAGGGACTCGTATCCTGCTGCCTTGCTGGACAAAGTCACATTAATCGCTTTCTCTGCCCCTTAAACCCTCGGTTGCTTTTGAAGGGCCTCATTTTGTACCCAGCTTGTAGCTTCATACTCATCTTAAATGCTTGTCAGAGTTCACGCTGGAGCCTATTCGCGTTGTGGATGATTTTTACGAAGTAGATTTCCTCAAGCTTTACAGTATCTATAGTACGTATTCCCCTTCGGGGCGGTGGAGGCTACGATGTCTCGGGCGACGAGGCCGGCAATGGCTGCCCACACAAGGTTGGCACGTGTCTCTAGGCTGCTCACTTTTTGTGGTTTAGGTTGATGTGCCGAATTGGGGGCGTCGGGATGGGCTCAGTGCCAAAACTTTCACTGTTGCAGTACTTCTGCTTTGTTGCACCTCACGTTGGCCTGTTGGACTGTTGCTGCTGCTAGCCTTTTGCTTTGCGATGTTGAATGCTTTCAGAACTTGTTTGATTCAGCACCTGCTAGCAACAATCAATGTGTCCTCGGCGCAGCAGTAGGAATCGATGACAGGCATACAAACAATGGAAAGATTTATCCACAGCAAGGCCAAGTTTGTAAGCCAAATGACTGGTAATAGCACGTCACACATCCCCAACTGTAAGCCTGAACGCATGTGTCCTAATGTCTAAATGCTGAACGTCCTAAACCTTGCTCGTATCCTTGGATCGAAGCGTTGGGGAGGTAGCCAAGTGGGCTCATTAAGGGATGGGATTCTGCATGCTCTGTAATCATAGTAGCGGCATACCTTGAACCGAAGCGAATCTAAATCCCTAAGCTTTTTGCCCTCGTCTACTACTAGATTCTACTATCGCTGTAGTAGTAGTTGCTACACGGGTCCTCGACCTTTCCTCCCTCGTTTGGCACGCCAAGGTTTGGTCAACGAGGAGTTCTCTCTAGGAAAGTGCCCCCTGGCTCATTCTAAACTTACTTAGAACTTGTCATACAAACAGGCAAGGAACAACCAACTTATACTGTAGCCAGGGTGTGTACCATATTCCTTTCTTGCAACTTGTGATTTCACAAGTGTTTCTTAACTTGCTTGCCCAGCATACTTAGCAGTCCGCTGCATTGAGTTATGTTTAGTGTCTTTCAGTGTGTACTCACACTGACTACTCTACCCCTGAACCTTACAGCAGGGATATCCAAAGGTTACGTTTCTGGAAGTCCAGTGGGTCAGCCCCGCTGATTTTATTGTTGTAGTTATGTGAAAGCCAGTTTGAATCGCCAAGATTGACGTGTAAGACCCCAAGGGAACTGCACAGGCAAGTTCCTGACTATGGCGGGCATACAGGGATTTGAGGGTGGTGGTACAAGAATATGGGGCAAAACCATTTCTCAAGCTTTACAGTGGTCAGGTTTTGTCAGTTGAGCGGTCCAGGTTTTGAGCCTTTGCTGGGGACGTGCTTTTGGCGTGAGGGTTAAGGGTTAGCGAGGTGATATTTATGGGTTACCCTCCCCAAATTCCGTGGCATCCATATAGCCTTGTTGTGATATGACCTATACTCGTGCCGACTAAAGTGGTGAATCCTGCTGAGCTGGCTCTTGCAAATACCTATGATCAGACGAGTGAATCTGATTCATAGGATGCCCAAAAGAAAGTCAGATTCCAGTTGTCTTGCGGGTTCCCTTGTGTTGAAAGGAAAACGCCAGTCCGATGTTTCTCACTAGTCCACAAAGCCATCCAGCTAAGCTACACCCTTCCAAGGCCAACCCGTCCACGCGAATCATCGCATCTCGCTCGAGAGTATCCCATGCTCTTCGTAGATATCTAAAATGTCGGAATAGTACAGGTCCCTGAACTTGAAAATCGTGTTCTCTAAGAGTCTCTCTCTCTCTCTCTATATATATATATACCACATGGACCAGAACACTTCTAGGGTCTAATAATTGCAAGCCTATAGGCCCGTGGCTATTGAGACCCTGACGGCACCTTCTTCCCTCAGAGCACGGCCCGAGGCTACAAGCGATGTGAGGACTTGACTGACGGCCAGTTCCCTTACCGCACAAGCCAGGAGCTGAGATCATGGCAGCCCTGTCTCTAGGGTTTATATAGAGTTTAGGGTTTACGGGTTAGGGCTAAGGGTGGATCTAGCAACTTGTACGGTTGCTGATGATGGTTTCAGAACCATAGCCTACCTTTGGAGCTATTGGATCAGATTTCAGACATCAATCTCGTATGACCATTCTAGTTATCCACACCCCTGGGCCAACCAGTGTGGAGTGGCCCCTTATGTTCTTTTGAGGTAGACCCGCCGCATCTGCACTGTCGCCCCCATTCTCCTCCCTTTGGGGCCATGAGGTGAGAGATGAGCGCGTTCAGGGGCCACGTTTGTAAACTTTCGGTTTACGCCTTGGAGTCGGAATGCCCCTGTTCTCAGCTTTTTGTAGGCTTACTCCGGGGTTTACGACTTGGAAGCCTACTGGGGTCTTTCCAGCCAGACCCGGCTTCTGACGACCCTGCATTAGGAAATGTAGCCCGTCCTGTTTTGTTTGCTTCCAATGCGGTGACTTTGCGGTAAGGCTAGTGTTTGAGAGGCTTTCACATCAAGAGCCCAAGATAGCCCAAGCATGGCTGTGTTGCCTTCAGGCATAGAGAGAGCTGCGCACATGCTTATAGGAATCTTGAGTGCCAAGCTTTAGTGAGGATGAGCAGGATGAGAGGCTTGCATTTTCAAACAGACACATGTTTCGATGTCAAGCTATATCTGCAGCTCCTAGCTCTGCACAAGAGGGAGAGCACTGGTACCGGCATTTCTTCCGCGCACCCTATCCAGAACAGTATAATGCGGAGTCCAGCTACTTCCCAAAGCGGCAGCGTGCCCTAATCTAATCCTTCTCTGCGCATAGCATGTACCATCTTGAATTCCCACAAATCCGAACTTGACGGTGGCAATTTGAGCATTCAGAATTGTCTGGTTTTGAGTTTCGGGTCCTGTGCAGCTCATTTTAGGCCACGCCAACCCGGGCGGGAACTTTTCTTGAGTTCTTGGGAAGAGTTTCGTTGAGTTCCAGTTTCGTCGGTATTCCTTGAAGAACATGGAAATGCATCACCAGAAACGGCTTGAGTTTACCTGCCGTTTTTCTGCTTACAAGGAGCGCAGGAATCAACTTTCCTCCCGCAGGATTCCGTCGCAGCGAATCTTTGGGAATAGTAGGGGCGCTAATGTGCGAGCTCGAGGGGAACTGTCGTCGGCCTGAAATTTCCCAACATGGCCTCATACCCAAATCCTAACGCGGTTTAGATGTAACTTCTCGGCTTGCTGCGCGCCTGAAATGAGTGGGTGGGTGTAGGCTCCTAGAACCTAGGGTAAAAGGCGACGGTGGACTCTGACTGTGGGATGATGAGCATGCTTTAGATCTATGGCTCGCTGCAGATTCAAAAGTTACTGTGCTTTGCTTTGGCTCACATGTATTTAAATGCTGGAGGCTTGGCCCCCAACTACAACCCCAGAGCCTAAAGACCCTAGAACCTAGTGCCCTGATTCCAGTGACGCCTCTGACAGAAGACCTTGACTTCCGCAAACAGGAAGGGACGACGATATCCCAAAAGGCCCCAAAGATGTCAGGGATGATCACGCCCTCTTGGGCCTGTAGGGGTGAGAGCTCCATTTGAGCTGGGTTTGCTCCCTTGCTTACCTGCAGCCCCTTTCATGTTCACTGTAGCTCGCTTTCTGAGGCGCAAACACTTGCTGCAAGACGAAGAACCTGCTGGATGCTCGTTATGGAAGTTGGAGGTTTAACAGCATCACCCCCGCAGACTCTACATGGTCCTTGAGGAGAATCCTCATCATCCTTTTGCAAGCCTTGGTAGAACATCTCTAGGAAGTCCAGGGATCCTACAGGCATTCACATTGTCAGAACCCCACCATGCCAACTCTTGCCTGAGACTTGTGCTGAGGAGTGCATCGAGCCAGCCAACAGCACCCCTGGCTGATTTAAGAAGTAGGATTCATGGTTCAGAAATTGACCTATTTAAGGGAAGTTTAGGTTCGCACTGCCCAGCTGTATGTTGCTGCGGATTACTGGCCCCGCGCAGTATTATGTCAAATTGAGAGACACCCAGAGTCCGTCTACATTACCAACTGCTCAGTGCAAATGATGCGCCTTGCTTGAACACGTCTTGCTCTTGTATTCTGCATTCTACACGCCCAAGCTGCAGTGGCAGGCCACTTCAGTTTCGGCTTCAACGTTGGTGGCGGGAAAGGAGCAGAATCCGAGAGCCACAACCCGAGCTCAAAGCACCCAAGCGGCATTTGGCTGAGGGCGGGCGACTTGTTATTGATCCTCTAAGGCTCATGGTGCCTTTAGGACCACTGGTATCACAACATCTTCCTCCACCTCCTTGTGTTCTTCATACGAATATGCTGTAAATTTGGGGCCCGCGCACTTGACACTGGGAAGGAGTCCGCGCATCTGTCACCACGTTAGTGACGAGCGGAGGAATGCATGGGGGTGGGAGGCAGGTTTGCAAGCAATGGCTTGTCAAGAGCATGTCCGAGCAAGTGTGCAAGGCTGCTGCATCATCCTTCCGCCAATTTCTCCCAAACACTCCTGCTCCACGATTTTGAGGAGAGTTAGGGATCATGCTGCAGGAAAGTGTTGCAAAGGCCCAGCACTCGAGATTTCCCTACGTGTATAGCTATTTGAAGCAGCTCAGGTACACCGAGCTCGGCCAGTGAATCAACTGCAGGCTGTTTTTGCGGCAGGTGGGGGTAGCTTGTGCCCTCGGGCTAGCAAAAGCCGAGGGGCAGGGCTAGCCCTAGCCAAATTCAACGCATGATGTTCAGAAGTGCATGTTGCGACAGCTTCTAATTCTTTTCTGCAGGCTTCCTAGCCATGGTCAGAAGAGCCGTAGCCCTGCCTGCAGTGTCCCTGTCCGAGGGGGCAGGTGTGTTAAAGCCATGCAAAGCATGGGAGCTAATCCGGCAGTGGTGATCCCGGTATCACATGGCAAACACGAGTTTTCTGTCTTGCTCTTCCACACACACACACAGAGACACAGGCACATGCACACGTACCAAATTTGAATTCCGATTGAACAGCAAGGAGCCGAGATTATCTTGAGGAGTTTGTGCGCGTTAGTTCTTGACACGTGGAGACACATCCATCAGCTGCAAGCATGTGGAAAGCAAGGTTCCTGATCCGAAGGTTTGCTGAGCACAGAAGCAGGGTTAGGACCAAGCGATGTTAAATAATTGGCAATGGCTGCTTCTCCTGCTTCAAAAATGCATTTCATGAGGGACAGACTGATTTCTGGGGTAGGGTTGGTTTTGCTGAGCTGCAGATGAAGTGGAGCTCAGGTCGATCCAGCTACATGCCTTTGGCTTCCAAACAGCTTCACCTAGGCCAGCTGGGGGGTTTCGGGGTTTTGGGTTTAGGGGTTTTGGGTTGAGCGCCTACGTTCCTAGGTTTGGGGGGTTCAGGATCTAGGTTTCGAGGCTTATAGGGATGACTCAGGCGGTTGCCTTAGTCTGAAAGGTAATGGATGCAGTGCGGTGTGCTTGCAGTGGAGGCATGTAATCATGCTACTCCTGTAACGACCCTCTGCAGCTCATGGAGCCCCTAGAAAACTGCACGGTCAAAAGCAACCTCTTTTGCCAGATGAGCTCAGCGAGCAGCGGGGCACTGCGTCGCCTTGGTTGCAGAGCGTCCGAACCTCGAATGGTCTTGACGTGATCTGGGGCTGCAGGTTAGGGAACACGTGTTTGGAGAGTTCCCGTCGGAAACAGGAGTGTGTTCCAGACTCCACAGAGATGCTAAGAGAGCCTCAATCAAGGGACTAGAGTGATTCCTGCCGCCTAGGCCTGGTCTTGATGTAACAGGGGCAAGTGACGTCCAGGAGTTCAGGTTCAGTGACGACAGCAAGTGTGTGTGCCTTTCCTTGCCATGTACTGCAAAGCTCTGCTGCGGCTTGTCCTGGCAGCTGGTTCATGTGTACCTTCTAAGCCATTTACCGCCTTTTTTCTGGGTAGCTCAAAAAGACTAGGTCCCTAGGTTTTTCTGAAAGAACCAGTTTTTTTATTGAGAGTGGTATCTTGTTACGGGAAAATACGGGTAAATTACAGGTAAAATGCGTGTTGGAAAATTGGAAAACCATGTTTTTTTTTTTTGAATTTCCGTTTTTTTTGAAAATCGTGAAAAACCACAGCTAGGACAACGTCTTGACAGCGTATTGCTCGAAGAGGCAGAGGCTAACATCTTGTGGACGGAGGGAACATGGCTGCATTGCCTTCGAGTGCCCTTGTCGCGGTCTGTGCCATGTTCGGCATGGCCACAGCTCAGATGCGGAGCGACGATTTCCCCCATTACGGCTTAGGCACTATCCCCGCCTGGAAGGACCTGGCTTCCCTCCGGGGTGCCCACCCGGATGCCCGGGTCATGAGCAAGGCAGAGTACCATCACCAGCTGCAGTCCCTGGATGTTGAGCAGCTCTACAATGCGATTGCGACGCTCATGACCAACTCCAAGCCGTATTGGCCAGCAGATGGGCCGCAGGACGGCGATGTGTCCAGCTATGCCGGCCTCTTTGCACGTCTGGCTTGGCACTGTTCCGGCTCCTTCCGCATGATCAACAACACGCATGCTGCTGGGGGCTGCGAAGGGGCTCGACAGCGCCATTGGCCGGAGAATGAGTGGCGTGACAACACCAACCTGGACAAGGCCCGCGGGCTCTTGGCAGAAGTGAAGCTGCAGTTTGGTGACCGCATCAGCTGGTCAGATCTCATGACCTTTGCTGGCACGGCGGCCATCAAAGCAAGCGGTGGCCCGGCCAACAAGTTCTGTTTTGGACGTGTGGATGATGTGAATGGCGACCGCTCGGTCCCACTTGGCGTGGAGGGTGTGACCCAGTGCCGCGGCAGCAAGTTCTGCAAGTCCAACTTTGAGTGCCCCAACACTTTCCGTTGGCCGGAGCAGAACGATACGGACCATGCCCGCTGCAAGATCGAGCAGCCTGAGCAACGGCTGCA